TCAGAATGGGCATTCAATACGTTGATACAGCTGATGAGGAGCCAGTCGTTATTGATGATAATGATGACAAAGTTTACACTCCAACAATCGCACCAATCAACGTGAAGCCATTTACATTCGACACTGATAAGTTGAAGTCTGATGCTAACATTCGAGAGAAGACCTTGAGTTTGGTGATGGCGAATATGAACCAGTCTTCGAAGTGAGGTATTATTTTTACAAGACCTGCAGGCGCTCCAATTCACTTTTGAGGATTTCCAATCTATCAATCTTATCGGTGCTATCGCTCATAGCTGTAATCGCTCTGTCGCGATACACGATATAAGCTCCGCGTTTCCAAGCGCAAGGGCAAAAATACGATGCGTTGCTCAGCGATGGCAGAGTCGTGTCGTTTGGAGCAATCAAGTCCAATGGTGAGTCCTATCAGCAATATCAAGATCGCACAAATTTAAAAGCATACCGTGACCATGATCACAAAGATACAAAGCGAAGAGAGCGATACTATAAGCGACATGGTCCGATTGATGATCAGCATCCTTACACTCCCGATTGGTTCTCGAAAAACTATTTATGGTAGCGATCATGCAGCAATATCTGTATATACAGACTAAATATTCTAGAATATACAATCTAGCCATACAAGACTATATTGACAATTATAGATATGAAGTATACAGCCGCTTGATCGCTGGATTTAAGGGTTTTGACTTTGTCGGAGAGCCCACGCGCATTGAAAAGATGATTGAATCTCAACAAGAGCAAATTCAAAATTTTCAAAATCAACTCAATCTCATCAATCGCGAGTTTCTGCCTGGTGACATTGAGAGTCTAACGCTTGCATAATTTATATTACAGATGTCATTATCCGAGCTGCTTGAATAGTTTGTAGAACTCGTCTTCTTTTCCATGCTGCAAATAGTAGAGCCATCAGATACAGAAGCCATCACAGTGCCCGAATCGGGGGTCTTAGATATCAATTTCGCGATAAGAATAGTCTTTGGAAAAAACGCGTGGTCTTGGAAGGCCTAGAGGATCGAAGTAGCGCTTGTCTTTGTTTGAGACTGCCGGCCAATGTGTGCCTCTGATAATTGGATTGCCCATATTGATTATTGCATAATCTGTGCTTCTATCAAGATTTAGCTTGAAATCGATTTGATCTACCTTTACCCCAAGAGAAGAGCGAGTTTCATTAGTTGATCATCTGTTGTTCGAGACAATTTAATAATTTTCTTTTCGCTCATATTATGTTTTTGCTGAAGATCTATATCTTGCCCAATATAAAGCAAACTCGTACTATACAATGCCCACCGCAAGTGATATCTCTGCTTTCGAGCACTCCGTCGAACCAGCTCCAGCTGAAACGCTCTTTCGTGATAAGAAATGGACCTATATTCAGGATTCGACTAGTAACACTGTTAAATACGCTGGTCAAATTCAATTCAACCTATCCACGATCTCTTCTCAAGCTGCGTTTGTCAACTGGGAAGAGGCCGTCATTGATCTTCCAATCAAGCTTCAGATTCCCAATGCTGGAGAATCTTCTGTTACCTCGACCGCTGCTTGTACCGTTGATCAGCTTGTTCCTAAGGCAGATGCCTGGCAATTCATTGATTCCGTTCAAGTTGTTGTAGATGGCGAGACCGTTCAGACGAATCAAGTTCATGAAAATGTAAATGCTACGTTTCAAGGCGCTAAACCGAATGGGACTACAGCTCCTACATTAAACGAGGACCAACGAGCAACTTCGTGCTAGATGAATATCGTCTACCAATTCCCGGAGTCGCCCAAAATCTTGACAACATGACAACATCCAATTATATTAACGGCACCGTTGGCGAATGGGGTCTTTTTAACACATTTTCGAATCCACGGCAACACCCTGAAAACTCGCAGTATTTTGTGGACGCCGCATACTTGCTGGGCGCCTTTTGTGCTGAGACAAAAAAAGTGTAGTCTTTTTCGTCTGTGTAGCCACTTCTCGTCAACGGTTACTTCGACTGGTTCAGTAGTCGGTTATTTTACCATCACTTATTGGCCACTCTAGACGTGCGCGACGAATATGCATCGCGCGAATGTCCCTGACCTGTCCTTCCTATCTGTGGTCGGTAGTATGAGTATAGTTATAGTCTTTTGCGCACGCTGATGACCGTGCCTCGCAGCCGACGCAGCAGCAGCTCCAAAACATGATCGCCCATGTCCAATTTCAAAAAGAGCTGCGAAAACTGCCGCGCGTGGATGGGTAAGTTGGCGTTAGCCGTCTGTGAGAATCCAGAGCTATGTCTAACGCTCAGCTTTTACAACAGAATACGCATAGTTAGAACAGGGTCAGCGGACTGGAGTGGCGTTGATATTCAGCTCGCCGTGGTCAAGAAAAATGTAGATTCACATAGTGGATTTTATCCATGAAATTCGCAAGCTCACATTTCGCACATGCTGCGGTGTATACACTTTCTGGTATGCTGCTCAGTACAATGCTCATGAAGGTGTCGACGGGAGGATCGAGTTTGTAGTTCGCATCTCGCCTGCGTTTCCAGCCGAATCGCCTTTGATTTCCCGCACTGCAGGGGCTGTAGATAGAGAGCTATTTATCCTGTGTGCGGCGTACAGCTTCAAATCTATCTCAAGTTTTGTGATAGAAACTTAATCACTCCAATAATGCCGACCTCCAAAGAGGCTGTATGTACGTAATTGGGAAGAGCACTCCAGCGTCAAAACGTTGCATTAATTCAAACAGCTCCGATTGCCGACCGGCATGCAT